TATCTATCTATCTATCTATCTATCTATCTATCTATCTATCTATCTATCTATGAAATTTTACCCCAACTAGGCTGGAATCCTAAGGTGGCCATCGACGAGATGTCTTGGGGTCTCCCTTAAATGTAACCCTTGCTGGGAACTTGAGGACTAGGGCAGGGTGTTTTACCAGATCCAAGTCTGGTCTAGGCCCATAGCAACCCTGTGGAGTAGCTGGATCTGGGATTAGAGGAGAGTTGTAAAATGGCAGTAGAAATGGGGCAGGTTGGGGTCACAATTGGAAAATTCACCTGAGCAGAGGAGAAGTGTGTTATGAAATTGGAGGTGGAGTAGGCTTAGATTTCTGTGGGGAAATCACTGCTCTCACGGCATCATTGTGTTAAGGAACTAGAGGTGGGCCACGGCAGGCCAGGATCTTGGATAGTGGATACAGGATCCTCTTCCTGGGTAGGAAGAGTCACCAGCGTTGAAGGAACCGTGTTGATCATGTCTTGATTAACTCCATTCTCACCACAGATTAATTACTAAGGGTGGCCTTCTGTGCCTGAGACGAGGTAGGTGACCTCCGAGGAGGTATTGTCAGGGGATGGTTTCTGGGGGAGCCACAATCACTGGAAGCCGTCGGCTCCCCATCAACCAGATTTATACCGAATCATAAAGAGGTGGTACAAGTCAGAGGTAGGGCCCTCTGATCTGACTCATGACCCTCATGGTGGGGAGAGGGGATAAAGGCCTGGCACTGTAAGCCTGTTTAATAACGTACAGGGGAGACAGTAGTCCATGTGGGGAGTGTATCTCTAATGCTAAACTAAACTACTATAGCAGCAAACTGCCTTCCAAACACCTCCGATTTCCCACAGACAACAGTGGCTCCCAGCCTCACCCAGAGACCCCTCTCCTCGTGATGAATGGTGGCAGATGCAGAGTCATCGCTGCCCAAGACGCACAAATGAGTGATGCTTGTGGACCCATCAGTAGAAAAGTCATCCACACCACTCCTCTAAGGCTCAGGGAGCATGAAAGAGGGCGTGTGAAGTATGTAGGGGCTGGAAGATAGGGTGAAGGGCTGCAAGATTCCATCAGTTCAGACCAACTGCAGTTCCCAGCACTGGGCTCATATGGGACTATTCCTATCAAGAACCACTCAAGGAAAAGGGAGGGGCTGGTAGGTCCTCCCCTTTACCTTCTGACCTATTGGCTACTGATAGAGTCTGGGAAGATCAAAGGAAATCACCGTCTTTAATTGTGTGTCACTGCTGAGCCTACCAGGCTCCAATGGATGCATCCAAACCCACAGTTGCACGGATGGTCTTTGCTAATCTCAGTGGGTCACAAAACTAAACACAGAGTGTAGGACAGAGATTTGTGGGAGTCTAGGATGTACAGGGATATTAGGGAGGTGAGAGGGGTTGAGAATGTCCACTCTGCATGCAGGACATGTGAAAAATTGTGAAAAAAAAAAAAAACCTATCGGTCTTCCATCTATGAGCAGGTCCCCAGGCTGAGTGAGAGAGTAGTGAGCTCATGCCTCTGAGCTCACACCAGGGCTCTGGAGCAAGATATATTACATGAGAAGGGCTGACCTGACCAGCCATCTCCTGAAGCTCTTTGGGCAAGGTGAAGTGAAGTGGACACGGTTCTAAGATGAGATGACAGCTTGGTAGAGAGGCTGGGCCGGGAGGCCTGGGAGGAGCCTCAGTGGACAGTGGACCTCCTAGGTTCAAAGAAATTCCTGAGAGGAATGGGTAGAGCGGTAGGTATGGGCTTTGATCTTTCTCCCCTTTTGTAGTCGGTTAACTTTGAAGGAGAATTTAGAGAGAGGACAGGTACCCTTCTCAGGCAAAGACAGGGCTTTCCAGGACTGACAGTTCTAGTCTTTGCATATGCTGTGATGACGGGGCTGGAGCACATATGTGATGCTCAGGCTTCATGAGAAGTATCTGAAGACAGCAGCCACGAGATGAAGAGAGGGTGAAGAGGAAGATGTCTTAAGACACACATTCACGGAAGAGTTCGATGTCAGCTCCTTCCTGAAGACAGATTTCTTTATGAAGATTCCGGTAGCTGCACTCGGGGATGGTAGACACTGGCCCAGACACAGGGCTTGTTTTCTAGGGCTGTTGAAGAAGTCTCATTGTTTTCTGAATCCAAGGCATAAAGCTGGAGAATCTGGTGAATATTCGAGGAGGTCGTCCGGTATAGTAGTGATGACTGATAATTCTGTGGGCTACATTGTCACACATACAGAGGCCCCTGGGATCTCCCTGTGGACAAAAAAAAAAAAAAAAAATAGGAGTCTTAATAAATACTCTCTTATCATTTCTTTCCAGGCTCATTTTCTCCCTGTTCTCTGTTTCCAATGATGCCTGGGTTTTTGGAAGGGAAAGCTGTGTGCCACCATCTGGATGGAGCCTAGAGTATTGCTACCTGGCTGTGACCTTTCTGCAGTTTAACTATACCCAAGTCTTTTATTTTCCCATGGTGACAAGCAAAAGATTGGCTGTGGGAAAATGCTAGATCCCTGGATGGTTATCCTGACCCATACTCTAGCCTGGCATCTGTTCTATAGTGGCTGTGTGTCGCTCTGTCCCTAGGCAACGTTTGAAGATCGTTATGTCTTTACCCCACCACTCGCCTTCTTCTCGTTGGGACTTCCCACACAGAGGTGAATGGAGTTGCTGCAGTCTTTGGAGATTTCTTGGCACGTCTGGCTTTTTTGAGCTTCTAGATTCACTTTCTGAAGTGTGTTAGACAGACTGCAATTGGCCAGTTTTCTCCAGCCTGCCGCTGTGCACACCTGCCCAGGTTTCACCCTGCCCTGGCTCTTCGGAAAGGCAATGGTCTTCAAAACATCATTGAGGTTTGCTTTGTGTTCCAGCTGGTCAGGAAGATGAAGAACAGTGGTTCAGGTCTGGCCCTCTCAGCAAGCTTAAACCAAGGATGGGGTTGCCTGTATCTTTCCCCTTTGCAAAGCTCCCCTTCCTCCAGCCTCATTCCATTGCCCTGGGACCAGTGGACCAGCCACCCAGACGAGAGGACTGGACTGATACACTAGTCACGTGTGGGAGTACCTAGAGGTCAGCAAATGGTACCTTCAGTAGCATGATCTCATTAACTGGTGTTTTTCTATTGAAGCCCTATTGAGGGAAGGGTTTGAAAACAGGAATGACCTGGGTGTTTTTCCTTTTTTTGATATTGTGAGCCCCCAAGGTTCCACTTATATTGCTGTGAAAAAAAGGTGGATTAAGTACAACATAGGAGCAATGAAGCAGTCTCTAAAATGCAGGTTGGGGACTCAGCCTAAGGCAGCACTTGGCTGAGTCAAATAGCAATAAATTTCCGGGGAAAGTTGTGCTGTAGGCTTTTCAGAATCCTTCGCTGACACCACCTGGCCCCAGGTTTCACAATCACGTTAGGTCAAATAGGAAAAAATCAGGTTGCTTTTCACCTTAGGCCTTATGTGTTCAAGGACAGCCAGGACCTGTTGTTATCTGGTCAGTCCCAGGCAACGAAGACCCAGTTGCTCCTCCTTACCTTCCACTGCAGTGAGCTTCTGTCATTACGATGTCTTCCTCCCCCAGGAAAACACCACTCGGGTGGATGACTGATTTGCCGTCATAAAAATATATGAATGCCACGTGGTCGGGAGTGCTGTTTGGCTTCTATACCCCAAAATATTTTTCCTGGAAAGAAAAACTTGTTCTGAACCTCTGGACTCATGGAAACTGTAACAACCCTGGTGGCTGGAATGAGGGATATTTAGTGCCAAGAGAGGGTGTGGACATGGTGGAGAAGAGAGCTGCTTGTAGGGGCTGACACACAATGAGAAAGGGAGCCTGGCTCCTGCGGGGATCCCAGAGCTTGCAGCATGCCATCACTTTCCCCCCTGGTTTTGAATTTCTTCTTGTAGTAATGATGCTGCCAAGACCTTTCCTGAATCGAATTAAACCTCATGTACACATTAGGAAGGAATTCAGCCTACATTGTCCGGAAGACCTAGAATACAGTCCAGCCCACCACAGTCGCTCCTCTGTCTCAGGACTCACCGGATGTCCCGGTCGGCTAAGCTCTAGGCTGTGCCTGAGGTAGGCATGGTGCACTTTTGGGGTTAAATGCTATGGTTACTTTTTTCTTTTCTATTCTGATTCATGATACATAGTAAGTACACTACACAGGAACAAGAGTGTTGCATAGTTAATAAAAAACCCCTCTCAAATGTGCTATGCCCATAGCTGGGAGGAGAGTTTCTAATGTAGTCTGAACTCCAGCATAGATCTGTCTTTTTAAAGCCTTGAAGTTGTGTTCAGGATGAAGAAAAGAGGACACAGAGGAGTGGGGATCACGGTGGGATGGGGAAGTGGGCTGGAGGGTCCTGTTTTCAGCAGGCTGTGCAGCGGGGGTGAAGACACATTCTGCTGGCTGTGTTAGGTTGGCTAACTGTCATAGCACATGGTTCAGGAGAACAGAGACGAGACAGGAGTGACCGCTGGAACCCCGAACAGACTTGTTCTTCTAGTCTTAATGCAGACGGCAGCCCTTGCCTAACTCGGCCCCTTCTCAGGTGTGGTCGATTAGAACTTCTAGGCCTCAGTTCAACTGCATCTTTCCGCTCGGGTCCTATGATATCTACAGCGCATCACATTTGGGTGACTGAGATCTCACTCTCCAGGAGCCTTTGCGAGGAGGCTATTTAGCCCCTGCTAGAGCTGAGGTTCGGCAAACTTCTCAGGTAGAGCCTGACTGGGGCACCATGTATGTGTCAGGGCCACCACATGCCAGCCTCTAGGGATGGGGAAGCCTGCTTACCTCCTTCAGTGCTGACTGGTAGGACAGCCACCAGGAAGACCAGGAGCAGGAACATCTTCTTCAGAGGTCTGACCAGGTCTCAGTCATCATCTGTTCACTTCTCACAACTTTTAAACCACCAGGTGGGGAAAGAGGCCTGGGGCCAGAGCCCACTGATTTCCTGTGTGGTATTTAAGATCCGAGCTCTTGCCGCCTCGTGTGGTGAGTGTGCAGGAAGCACATTGCAGTTCGTTGCTGGTAAGCATTACCACATTCCCCACAGGAATGCTGAGCTCTGAGGAGGGCAGAGGAAACTATTGTGGCCTTCCACACAAAGCAGAGGGCGAGGCCCTTCTGTCAGTGCTCAGGGAATTGCAGTGTGATGCCTCTGTGTCTTGAATTTGTGATCAGGTAATTGTCTCCTTTGAAAAAACTAACGTCTCTACATCTCCTACTACTCTCTATGAGGATGTATCCCTCCCCCCTGCCAAGATCACAAGGATTTCTTGTTCCAGATTTAAAGCAGCCCCTCTAAGGTACCCTAGAGAACAGCTGGGTCATCTGTTGCCATCTCAAGAGCTTTGAACACTACTAGGACATGGGATGAAGGGTAAAGATTTAGGATGAGTCTCAAGTGGCGTGTTGACGATGGTGTCAGAACGTTAGAAAATGACTGAACAGGGGACCACAGTCTATAGACCGTGTTTATAGACCACACCGGCCTATAAAGACGCTGGTGTCCATATGGTCTTGACATTTCAAAGGTTTAAAACCTTTCATCACCAAGTAGAGGTGAAGAGCAGACACAAAGCTGTGCTGTTTGTGCTGTTTTTCTGCCTTTGCTCCTGTTCCTCACTGTCCAGGGAAGAATGGGATGAAGGCAAAGGTATCTCTGCTCACTTCTCCATCTCTGTGGAGGAATCAGCTGTAGTTCTTTTTTTAATTTTTAATTTTATTTTAATAATTAGTTTATTCACTTTTTATCCCAGCTGTAGCCCCCCTCCCCTCCCCTCTCAATCCCACCCTCCCTCCTCTTCTTCTCCTATGCCCCTCCCCCAGTCCAATGATAGGGGAGGTTTTCCTCCACTTCCATCTGACCCTAGTCTATCAGGTTTCATCAGGACTGGCTGCACTGTCTTCCTCTGTGGCCTGGTAAGGCTGCCCCCCCCTCAGGGGGAGGTGATCAAAGAGCTAGCCCATGAGTTCATTTCAGAGACTGTCCCTTTTCCTCTCGGACACTGAGCTGCCATGGGCTACTTCTGTGCAGGGGTTCTAGGTTATCTCCATGCATGGTCCATGTTTGGAGTATCAGTCTCAGAAAGGGCCCCCGGCCCCGATTATTTGGTTCTGTTGCTCTCCTTGTGGACAGGTCTGTACATGCAGGTGTCTGGAGAACGTTGGCTTTGAACGGGAAACTCAAGCGCATCTCCTCGTAGAATACCAGAGTCAACCTGACCCTGAGGTCACTCATTCGGCTCCCCTGTCATGCGGTAGAGACCTGAGGAGACTTGTGCGGTAGCTGCGTGCAGTCCTCATGCTGAATGGCATCTCTCACACCCAGGCTGGAATATGCAAACATTCTCCCCCAGGGGAAGGTAATGGATTCTTGTTATTCTGAATCTCTGCTATTTCATTTGTATCCTTTCCCCACCAATTTGCAAATGATGAATGCCTTCTGCCACGTTGGAGTAACGATTAAGGACCTGTGTGGTACCACATGTCTGCCAAAACAACATCCATGAGCTTACACGCATAAAAAAATGAAAGTTGAGAGATTACAATGTTTCTCCCGTGGCGGCTGCTATCGTTTAACTGCATCTGTCCTGCTCCGTCACAGTTTTCACTTGTGATTTCTCACATCGTGATAGCGTTGCCACAGTTTCCCGGTGGTTAAACATCTTTTGAGTTACTGGGACAGGCCCCTGGGCTAGCCTGCTGCCTCACACAGGGCTCACAGCTCCTCTCTCTCAGGGCTTCCTGATAACCAGTTCGCAGTGTCAATCAGCCCCACCGTGACTGGCCCTGGTGCTCCCTGTGGCCCTTCTCAGAGTTGACTGCTGTTCTGACCGAGGGCTGGAGATGAAGTCTGTTTGCTGGCGTGAGGTTTTCACTGATGAGTGTGTAATTGCCGTAGGCCTTTGTGAGTAGAAAGAAGGCAAACAGATGGGCTCACACTTTAATTGGGGCAATGTACATATCTAATACATGTGAGTGAGAGGACCGGAAGGCAAGGACAAAAGGAGCCAGGAAAAAGTGCATGAAAGTGACGGGGGGGGGGACTTCTCATGTCTGATGGAAAAAAGAATCACCGAGGTCCTCCCATGGAGCCCAGTGAACTGTATGTGGAGTAAACTCAGACAAGTGTCCAAGCCATGCAAGCCTGGTCCCCTTCTGACTTTGGTCTCTCTTTTCCTGCCCATTCTTCACATAGTGCCTGTGTGTCCCTGTCACCCACAACTTTTGTTTCTGTGTAGCTTGCAGGGGCTGCAGCTAGTCCTGTGGTAGCCACACTGGGGACCTCTCTTCCAGTGCCTGGAAATCCCAGAGCTGCAGAGAAGGAGGCCGTGGCAGTACTCTACCTGAACAGGGGGTGGTGCTGTCCCCCTTCTAACATCTTATTCCATTGAAGATTTGATCTTCTGCTGTTCCCAGAGTTTGTTTAACATAATAAAAATGCCATTGCTGCAAAATGTAGAAAACGCAAGTTTGACAATTTTAGCTGTGTCCACTAATAAAGTGCAGTGGCGGTTTAGGATACACAGTCTCGTACAGCCATCAACAACACTCTTCTCGGACACTTTTCGTCTTTCCGTATGGAGACACCGAGCCTGTATGATCATGCTGCCCTGTTGGTCCTCCTGTCTGACTCTACTGTGTCTCTGTGGATCTGTGGGAGACTGTTGCACAAACACCAGTATCCTGAGCGTGATGCTACCTCCTGTTTCATACATGGTCGTTACTTTATTTACCAACCAGACCTTGTTAGATAGTGGGAAAATTCTATGCATACACTCTGGATTGTGGAGGGCCTGGGAAATGGAGAACATGTGAAAACCTGAGCGAGTGCTGTGAGGGAGGGAGGCAGGCGATGATGCAGAAGCCTGAATTCATCCTTCTGATCGGGACCACTAGGATGACTCTTCTAGGAAGGAGCTTGCGCACACAGTCTATTCTCCTGAGTGCTGGAAGGCCGACTACAGGGTTTGGGTTACCACAATTTTGGACATTTTGGAAGAAAATGAGCCAGGTGCCTGAGACAGCATCCCTGCTGTGGCCATCAGCACCTAGCATAGCCCTGGGGCAAGAAGGGGGGTCCTAGGGCTGTGCAAGTCTGGACTTGATTTCATGTACCCAACCAGAGAGGATGGGATGTAGAGGCCACACATTGCCATCACATTGGTTCCTGGGGCCAGGGACTGGACTGTGCTTTGTCTCCTGAAGATTCCACAGGCCCCTGAGTGACACAGAACTAAAGAAAAGAGCCACTATCTCCTGGCCCTCTGCTCTTGTCAGGTGCTGGGCTTGGTGTTCTCTGTGTGTGAGGGTTTCAGGGCTGTTGACTCATAGACAGCAAGTTAATAAGTGTGATTACGCCTGGAACATAGGAGGCCAGTTAAGTTATTTTCATTTTCTGCTCAGATGTAGCTACTTGTTAGAGAGTGACCAGTCCAGTTGATGCTGCCTCTCCCAGTATTCCTCAAGAGACACACTTACGTTCCTGATTGCTGACATGGTTTTACATGGTCATAATGTATCCACAGACTCTGTTTTTGACCTTTAACAATTGTTTTTGGGATCATATTCTAATTACAATAGTCCTCCATTCCCTTTTCTCCCTCCAAATTCTCCAATATATGTCTCCTGACCCCCCTCCATCCTCCTTTAAATCCACGGCCTTATATAAAACCTAATGGTTCTTATATTCATATATGCATTTACACACACACACATTTCTAAATATAACCTGTGGAGTTCGCATAATGTTGCTTGTGTGTATGTGTCTCGGCCTGACCAGTTGGCACTGGCCAACCAAGTCGTGTGCTCTTCCCTGGGGAAAACTATCTCTCTTGCCCCCAGTTTCCTCAGTTGCCTGTAGTCCCTTGTGTGGGGTTGAGGTTTCCTAGGCTTTTTTTTTGTCCAGTTTGGCATGTTGCACTGGTATTGTCCTTGTTCGCTGCTCATTTGGGTAGCCATGTTTTTTGGTGAGATTTTATGGTGTAGCTTCTGCTGTTACTAGGAGACACAATCTCACAGCAAACTCCCCGGTCCTCTGGCCTTACAATCTTTCTGCCCCCTCCTCCTCAATGCTCCCTGGGCCTTAGCTTCAGGAGTGTTCTGAGATGTGTACTTGAACAGGACCCCACAGCTCTCCATGCTGATTGGTGACTGCGGTTTTCTGACGTGCTCTCTGTTGCAAAGAAACATTCCGTTGATGAGGGGCTCAGGCTGCACTTACGGGGCTAGGCTTATCTCTGGAGAAGGAGGTCTGTGGAAATAATTGTGGTGAAATATAATAATGAAGACTGTTTTAACCGTTTTGAGGGACATGCCACCTAAATCTGGCCTTCAGTCATTCTTCATTTGTCTGAACTGCCCAGACTGTGGAGACATTTATTGAACTTTTACTTTTGACAGATGTCTCTTTGAGGTCACTGCCACTGTGTCTCCTGGGCGTCACCCCCACCCATAATGTCCTGCAGGCTCAGGGATGGTGTCCTTAGTATCACTCACTGTCTTCTCCCTTTTCTTTTCTTTTCTTTTCTTTTCTTTTCTTTTCTTTTCTTTTCTTTTCTTTTCTTTCTGTTTTTTTTTCTTTTTTTTCAGAACTACTCAGTTCTGGATAGTGGATAGTCACAGCAACAGATTCCTGAAAATTAACAGGCTGCTTGAACTGAGGTGGGTGCTGGGGACCAAACTCAGGCCTTTTAAAGAGCACTAAGCATTCTTAGCTGCTGAGTCATCCCTCTAGCCCCAAAGCCTCTTTTCTTTAATTGCTGTTGCTTCATACACATAAATGCATGGACATAGGACTCTAACCCACTGAGTTGGTTTAGTGTTGCTTTTTACGTATGTAATTTCAGGGCTGAAGGCTTGGTATTGGATGTCCAATCTTGAGCAAGGGTGTTCCTCCTGTTCTCAGCATTCCTTTGTTGCCTATCATACTTCCTGTAGGGTTAGAGCCCCGTGAGATCCTGCATTTCCATGTCACCGTGTCTACTGGGATCCGATACTTCTTCAGGTCTTGTTCAGGCATCCATGTTGTTGAGATATCATGAATGAACTTTCCCTGTCATTTCTAGAAGACATGATTACACAGCATACTTCCTGATTCTGTGGCTCTTACAATCTTTCTGACCCCTCCTCTGATGTTCCCTGAGCCTTAGGTTCAGGGGGTGCACTGTAGATTTATCCACTGGGACTGGGCACTTCATGATCCTTTGTTCTCTGCATTTTGAACAATTGTGGGTTTTGGGTTTTTTTGTTTTTTTTTTTTTTTTTTTTTTGTAATGGTCTTCATCTTTGTATAAAAAAGCTCCTTTGATGAGGGAGGAGAGCTACCCTTATTTGTGGGCATAAGAATAAGTATTTAGAACTTGCTGTGAGGACAAGATGACTTTGAACTCACAGAATGCTGGGATTTAAGGCATTACACCACCACCAGTAGGATATTAAAGCAGATGCTGAGACTCATAGCCAAACTTTGGGCAGAGTGCAGGGAATCTTATGAAAGAAAGGGGAGATAGAAGACCTGGAGGGGACAGGAGCTCCACAAAGAGAGCAAGAAAACCAAAAATTCGGGGCCCTGGGGTCTTTTCTGAGACTGATATTCCAACCAAGGACCATTCATGGAGATAACCTAGAACCCCTGCACAGACGTAACCCATGGCAGCTCAGTCTCCAAGTGGGTGCCCTAGTAACGGGAACAGGGACTGTCTCTGACATGAACTCAGTGGCCTGTTCTTTGATCAGCTTCCCCCAAGTGGGGAGCAGCCTCACCAGGCCACAGAGGAAGACAATGCAGCCAGTCCTGATGAGACCTGATAGGCTAGGGTCAGATGGAAGGGGAGGAAAACCTCCCCTATCAGTAGACTTGGAGAAGAGCATGGGAGGAGAGGAGGGAGGGATTGGGAGGGGATTTTAAGGAGGGGCCTACAAGTGGGATACAAAGTGAACAAATTGTAATAAATAAAACAATTTAAAAAAGAATAGGTATTTAGGATGCAGTAAGGAGTTATGCTGGTTTAATAAAGTGGTGGTGGTAGGTTCTCCTATAATCCATGACCCCGACTAGCCCCAGTAAGTTGGTTAGATTGCCAGTGTCAAGCATGATTGTCCTCCTATTGAGCAGGCTTTAAATCTAACTGGACAGCTGTTGGTTACTGTCAGGATGTAAGTGCCGCTATCGCATGTTTAGGGCTGTCTCTTTAGGATGGCCACCGTTGTGGTTCATAGGTGTCACGCTGGTTAGGGTGATTGGTTGCTCCCCTCCCTTGGCAGTTTGCAGAGCACCTTCCACTACTGCCATAGCTAGTCCTTAGGGAAGAAGTTTTCAGCTTAGAACCAGCTTAGACCCTTTGGCGCCTGTGTCTAAAGTGTGTGGTGTTTTCGGCAACAGGGATTTACCTTCAAGATCTGGAGGACAACTAAGGGCAACAGAAATAACCTTCCTTGTTTCAAAAGTCTCTTGGACTCCCTTGGTCAACAGCTCAAAAAGAGGTTTTCCATGCCTGGCACTGGAATTTTTGTTAGAGAGTACATAGCTCTTGGGGTAAGCGCTGTCGGCTCAAGTGACAGCTATATATGTACATACATATGTACCTATGCACATATATACATATTTACTTCTGTTCTATGTAATTTTACATAAGTAAAAAATATGGGTCCTTTCCCAAACATCCTAATTATTATGTTTCATCTTCTCTCTCTTTTCTTCTGTATCAACCATCTCTTCCCTCCTGAGTCTCCCCCACTTTCCTCCTATTTACTTTTCACCTAAGCTTCATCACAAACGGCTCTGAGGATAAAGCCCCAAGGACCTGTGAGTGCATTGGCATGAGAGATTACCCCAGTACTAGACTTTTAAACATTTGTGCTCACCACCGCATCTTCAGAGCCAGCGCTGCCCTGGAAATTGGCTGCGCCTCACAAGCACGTAGGTCTTGATGGAGGGAGGGCACAGCATTCCAAGGCACCTCGTACACATAAGGCAGAAGAAACACAGGTGCTCCTCAGGCAAGGGTGTGGTGAATCTATCGGATGTGATGCCGACAGTTGTTAGCAGGGGGATGGGCTGATGTGTGTTGAGACAGGTGAATGACTGGTTGGTGTGTATGTTTTGAACTTGTGTAGATGACCAGGATCCCACTGAGGATCCAGCTCAGAATCCTTTTTGCTGAGATGTAGGGTAGATGGGCATCACAGGACTCCCCTGGCTGACACCACTGTCACAACAGGTGGTTAATAAACGTGTTGAGACTCTCACCAGGGGGGTGTTACACACACAGTGGGAACAGGTGCCGGTGTAGAGAGAAGTCTCCTCATCCCTCAGGCCCTTCAGATCTGCTTGCTACATCGGGCACAGGGATTTGGTCATGAGAAGAGCACAATACTGGGCATTTGGCCCTTCAACATTTTCCTTCAGAGGAGGAATCCTTCACAGCCTAGACCTACCCATGTTAGCACGTCAAAACCCCAAGTGAGAATTTAAGTCTTGAATATATGTGAGTGTGCATGTGTGTATGGAGCGGTGTGTTAAGAACATGGAAACAGGGGGCGGGAGAGATGGCTCAGGGGTTAAGAGCACTGGCTGCTCTTCCAAGGGACCCAGGTTATTTCCCAGCACTCACACGGCAGCTCACAACTGTCTGTAACTCCTGTTCTAAGGGATCTGACACCTTCACACTGATGCCCACAAAATAAAATAAATTATTAAAGAAAAAAAAGAACATGGAAACAGCTGGGCATGATCGTGCAGTGCCTTTGATCCAGCACTCAGGGATGTAGAGGCAGCAGATCCCTGTGGGTTTGAGGCCAGCCTGGTCTACAAAAGTCCAGGACAGCCAGGGCTACACAGAGAGAAACCCTGTCACAAACCAAACCAAACAAAACCAAACAAACATCAAACAACAAACAAACAAAAAACAACAAACAAACAAAAAAGTGCCAAAGAAGAGTGAAGGTGAGGTCAGGGTGTGCAGGATCTCCTGGAAAGGAGGCCTCAGGAACTTATGAAGTCCTGGAAACCTTTCTAAACAGAAGTCAGATAGGAGACAGGACCTTGGAAGTGCTGACAGGACCAGGAGAACATGCAAAGAGGCGGGGCTGCCCTCGGGTTTGCTCATTGCTGAGCAGGGACTGGGGTTCTAAGGAAATGTCTCAGGACAAATGGTGGGGTGGTTTCCACTGTTCTCTCTTCTTCCTGCCTTACCGGGAGGAGCTCCCTCCATTTGCCAGTATAAACATTTAATAAGGAGACTGTCATCCCCCAGGACCTGCAAATATTGGTAATTCCTAGGAGCATCCCCCAGGGAGTGTCTTAGTGGTGCCAGAGATGCACTATTGTCTAGTTTTGTTGACAATGGCCTATGCTGAAGAGTAAACCAATGGCCTTCTGACAGGAGTTACACGGAAAACAGTGAATTCACCAAAGCATTTGTGCATATGCCCAGTTGGATTTGGTAGATAATCTGTTCAGCAATTATCTCACTTAAGTCCACAGAACCTGAAGAAGCTCAGATTGTAAACATCACACTGTCAGGTGTGACTAACATTTTGATGTACCTGAAGCCCTTTCCAGCTGCATCTGTGCAGTTACTTCAAGATGTTTCAAGTCTGATTTTGATGATCTTTTATTTGATGTAGACAGCCATAGACTAATCTTTAGGTAAAACACATCATTTTTTTTAAGTCCACATTTTGTTTGCAGTTTAATATAACTTCAGAGTTCTAAAAGTATGAAGCAGACCTTCCTCACCAACCACTGGTCTGCAGCGCAGTGCTCCTGCTGTGATGGGAGGTTTCAGACAAGAACTACCATCTCTGGGGGACATTGCCTTGCCTCTGTTTTGACCTTTGTGACTCGTGCTGCTATGAAAACTGGGCGTGTGTTCATACCAATGTTCTATTTCCCCCCCTCTCTTCCAGTACTTGTGTAGTTTAGTCTTTAGCATTTGTGTGCATTGATGTTTATTTTTAGTGTGGTGTAAGGAATTCATTCAATATTACCCAGTTGTCCTAATACCACTTCTTAAAAGTTCATTGTTCTCATGGGTTTGAAATTTGTCTTAAATGGGGCTTTAATGGAGTTTCACCTCTGTCCATTTGATCGGGCTTATCTGTGCACAGTTCCTCCCTTAGTGGGAGGGTTTCAGGGAGAGAGAACTTTGCCCTAGGGAGAGGAGTGGATTCAGAGAGTGAGGTGAGGGAGAGAGGGGACACATGGCTTAAGGAAGGAGAGGCACTCCTCTGGATCCCCAGGCTCTGGGTAGGTGATGGCGTTTGTTTGTCGTGGGCGAAAAAAAAAAAACCCTCATTTTCTGGAGGAATTTTACTCTGTTCAGGCACATGATTTTGGATGCTCCTTTGACATTGATACATGGACACCTAATGCCCATTTGAAGGGATTAGATGGGAGTGAAAGGTTACCCTTGTGAGTAGCCAGCCTAGTAAAGAGGCAGGTGGAATCCCTTTGCACGTTCTGCCATGTGAGGGAGAGGAGAGTTGTGATCCATTCAGCTGCCTCTCATCAGACAACAAATTGCTGGTGCCCAGACTTCGGGCATCTCAAATGCAGCAAAATAAATGTCTGTTGTTTAGAATACCACTAAAATACCACTATATAGTATTTTGACATAGGAGTTCAAACACATTAAGACAGCACTAGATGATATTTAATAAACAAAAATATTTATGCTCCTCATTAGACGTTAATCAAGGCTGTGGAAATCCCCTAGAGCTGATGGCTGCCTCAGGTAGGGTGTCAGCAGGTTCTTGATGCCAAGGTGCAAGGCGTCTCATTGTTCTCTTTATCCAAGGCATGAAGCTCTGGATCCTGGTGAATACGGCTGGAGGAGTACCATTCCTATCTCCATAGGAGACGATGCCCTGGGCCACATTGTTACATACCAGAGGACCACCAGAATCACCCTGTGGGCAGAGGAGGGAAAGGACATGAAGCTAGGTCTTCTGGCTCTTGCTGCCCTATGATTCCAGTTTACAGAGAAGGCATGGGTTGGTGAGCTTCTTCAGTTGCCTGTATATGGGGGATGGGCATTTGATGGGCTTGCAGGGGTCAAGCCCCTGGGTCTTTTAGACCTGGCTAAGGTTATTGCCTTCAGCTCACTCCATCAAGGTACCTCCACCTTTCCTGGTAAGGCAAATTGTGGGTCTTCCTGTCATTCCTGAAGAGGGAGAACCCTTTCCACTCTGGCCATCTCCCAGGCTTGAGGAAATGGAGACTTGCCCTCCTGATGTCTGTCAGCTCTGAGCCCCTTGTTCCAAGAAATACTGGTAGCTGTTCACACTCTTACCCTGAACGCAGTTTTCCTCTCTCTTGGGTTGCCCACGCAGATCTGAGTCTGGCTGCGGTAGAATTCGAAGCGATTGCTGCACTTTTGGTCCCTCTGCACTCTTAGCTGCACCTCCTGGAGTACATTTGTTCCCCTGTTCTGGCTCACCAGGCCCCAGCCAGCCACTGTGCACAGATCCCCAGGCTGCAGTCTCTTGCTGGCCTGAGGCAGAGCCACGGGCTTCACCACTCGGCTCCTCCGGATTCTCCGGCTCAGCTGTCAGAAGGAATGCAGGCGTCCCAGCTCAGCTGATATCTTTCACTGACACCCAGGAATTCCTTGTCCCTCCCACCCCCACCATCCAGGACCCCTGCCCTGACTCCCTCCTCAATAGTCCCTGAACACAGAAATGCCATACGCAGAGAGGGAGCCAACAAGCCTGGAGAACCAGAGGTCAGGCTGGTCATACCTGTAGTAGCATGATGTCATTCTGGATGATCTCTGGGTTGTAATCGGGATGGCGGATGGCTCTGAGCACAGGGATGTGTTGCTGGGTCCTTTCTTGCCTTTGGATGTTGTGGGCCCCGAGGATGACAATTATGGAGCTGCAGAAGAAAAGTTGGCTAAGAAGTAGGTGTGATAACCAGGATCTTAGATCCAGTAGCTCAGCAGGGCAGAAGAATAGCCCAAGAACAGAAAAACTGCAGCTGCAGAGAGTGAGGGGCACGGAGGGCCCTGGACTGGGGATAGCAGATTAAATGAATTCATAATCAGCTCCCAGTCTGTGCCTTCTACCTTCTCCCTTTTTTTTTTTTTGATATCCCCCTTTCTATGTACCAACCCTTGCTTCTTTCCCCTCCTCCCATCTTGTTGATAGAATTGAAAGCAGAATGTTTCATTATAATTATACTCAATTGTCATAACATACTTTCAGGTGGCTCCAAAGAGGAAGTTTTGGGGAGTCTGGCTTCCTGAGAAGCTCCCGAATTCCTCACCTTCCCCAGCAATGAGCTGCTGTCATGACAAAGTCCTCGCGCACCAGAAATCCTCCGCAAGCACTCAGCCCTTCTGGACTCCGGATCAGAAGAAAGGCCATGTAGGGGTGGGAATGGGGCCTGGCCTCTCGGCCTCCAATGATCTTTCCTGCAAAGAAGCATCTGGCGCTTACCTGTGTGCTTGGGAGCAGACAGAGCCTGGTGGGTGGCCTTAGAAAGGCTGAAAGTGGGGAAGGTGTGATACATGGGAGCTTCAGGGATGTAAGGGGCAGGGAGAAGACTCCCAGGTTCCACAGCAAGCAATTACTCAAGCCTTGGGGGGAGCTTCATCCCCTTCCCAGACCTTTGTGTGTTCCCTCTCCAAGTGGAGAGTGATGTTTGTTCCACAGGAGCCTGGCTCTGGCTACTGAGGAAAGATGCTTTCCCAGAGGGTGAGCTTTCTCTGCTCCCTGGTACTTTCTTCCTCAGAGAGCCTCCCATGGCCCAGAGTCTACCTCCTTGAACCATGGGACTAGACATGATTCTAGATGGGAACGATGGGACTGTCACAGCTGTGTTCTTGTCTCTGGGCTTTGATGTTTGGGCTATGGAGTAAATTTATGTAGAAAAATATTCATACAATACTTTTTATGGCAGTTAAATTGGTTAATGTATGAGAGAGTATAACAGGTATAACAAGACCCTCTCGCGCATTAATTTGACCACCATGGCAACTCTAGGAGGCAGTACTAGTATTATCCACACTTTATAAGGGACAAGGAAACTGAGGAAATGTGAGCAGATTGCTCAATGAGGCAGAGTTAGGATTTCTGCAGCAGGTCTAGTTCTAGATTATAGGGCAGGCTCAGAGCTCTGTAGTGTGGTTAGTCACTCACCTGCCTCATCTCCCCGGAGTAGAATAAAGGTCAACAGGAGCAGGAGCGGCTGCATCTTTCCAGAACCGCTGCTTTGTCAGTTGCTGCTTGTACTTCTCTCTGCTGGACTTTTATCCTCAGCCAGAGAGGAAGGAAGGGTCTGCTGAGGAGTCACGGTCCCATTTTCCTGCTTGTGTGCCAGGTTTCATCACCCAAGACTCCCCAGGAGGTTTGCACACCAACGGCCAGTGACCAGGAGAAGAGGGAGTCATCCACCCAATGTCGAGTCCTGCACGGTTGCTGTGCCCTCGCTGACGGCAAAATCGCTGCCAGAGTGAGGGCTCTGGATACTGCAGCCAAGTTCACTGAACACTCAGTAATTCAAGGAAACTGGTGACTTCTTCCTTTCCTCTCTCTCCTTCTTTGATCAGAGCTTCAATTCAATGAATGTCAAATCACACACACACACACACACACCTGTGCAGGAACACCCCCTCACACACACACAACACGTATGGAGAATAATGTTTTTTCCACGTGAGCCTGGCTCTGACTATTGAGGAAAAATGCTTTCCCACAGGATGAGCTTTCAATATTCCCTGGTACTTTCTTTCTCAGAGAGCATCCCATGGCTCATTGTCTACCTCCTTGAATCATATATACATATACACACACATACATGTATATATGAGTATATGTACAGAAATGAGGGTATACACACACCCACAGACACACACACACACACACAGACAGACACACACACACACACACACACACACACACACACAGACTCTTACAGAGCCCAGCATGGCCTCAACATATCAAATTTGCTGAGGATGACCTTGAACTTCTGATGTTCCTGCCTCTACTCCCTAGTCCTGGGATTGCTGGTGTTCACTACCATGCTGGGTTGATGAAGCACTGGGGCTCAAACCTAGGGTCTCACGCATGGTAGCAATCACTCTACCAACTGAGCTAAAGCCTCCCCTTCTGGATTACTTATTCCCATGTGTTTAGTAATGTCCAAGGACAATGGTGAAAAAGTAATGGCTGTGGTGGGGAGTGTGGTCGAAGACAACAGGAAAAGTCAGAGAGGGAAAAAGAGAAACAAAGCCTTCACCTCTAAGGGCCCCACAGATACCTCTTCTTTCTAGACGTTACCAAGGTGGACAGAATGGCCACTCTCCTGGGGTCGTGGAAGCTGCTGCTGGAGAAGCAAAGGGCAGATCAAGCCTCTGACACTGCCTGACAGTCTTGGATGACCAACCCACTCTCAGTGGAAATCGTGACTCACCTGAAGACTTCTAGCCAGTTCTGGCAAAGGTCTCTGCGTTCTCCAGGGTCCCTGCATGCTGAGGGGCCCAGCAGGATGGCCTGTTGTGAGCATTCTGACGTGTGCTGGGAAACGTTTCCGATGCCATATCAGTGATGGTGGGAGAGACCGGTCAACCTGGTTTCCATTCTCTGCCTCAGAGGTACTAGTGTTAAAGAGAGACATGGATATTTATTGAACTATGTGTACATTGAGACATTTCTGGTTTTTGTTTGTTTGTTTGTTTGGTTGTTGTTTCTTTGTTTTTAAGACAGATTTTCTCTGTGAAGCCCTGGCTGTTCTGGGCCTCACTCTGTAGACCAGACTGGCCTTGAACTCAGATCCACCTGCCCCTGCTTCCTATTGGCTGGAACTGCCAGGCTTGACATTTCTGTTTGTATGGAGGCGGCAGTGGGAAGGCAAAGAGAAGAACATCCAGCACTGTTACATAAAGAAAACAACTGATGGATTTGATACATTAACATTGAGAGGAAACAAAGACAGACAAAGATTCTTAGAACATACATAACCAGCAAAAGACTGGTGAATCAAACAAATTACATAAAGAATTTCCATAAACCAGTGTGAAAGATAAACAACTAAACAAAGTAATGGGCTTTAATAGATATCTCAGAACAGAACACTGGCTGACCGATAAACATACGGTGAGTCGTTAGTCTCATCAGGTGCCAGCAAAGCAGCAAGCTAAAGCACACCGAGACGCCAGCGTCACCACCCATCCGTGGACATGAATGTGCAGGAAGCTTGCGTCCAAGGAGGGCACAGAAGGCTGCATCAAGCCGGACTGCAGCACTTCTAGGGTTGGAGTGGAGAATCATAGAGGGTTTCTGGAGAATGGCTCCACTTCCTGACATAAAATGCAGCGATTGCCTCATTAGTGTTCTTTCAACGGTATGCAGAGACTCCGTGGACTTTCCCAATGAGTATATTATGCAGTGTGTGTGTGTGTGTGTGTGTGTGTGTGTGTGTGTGTGTGTATTTAAAAGTCTTTTTACTATAGGGTGGGTGTTGGAGAGAACACTTGAGTAGAAAGGAAGCTATCATAATATGTTAGATCCCATACCTTTGAAATGTTTTTATTTTAATAAAAAATATGTGGTTTGAACAAGTGAGACTGTGATATATTTCACAATGCCCATAGCTGATTGCATCTGTTTTTGGTTGTTTCTGTCAGTTACTTTTATTTTTTTCTCCTCTGGGATGTTGGGCCATTAATAGCAGGTGTTTCCCATCTCCTTCTCAGGCTGCAGAAGCCACAAGGGCTGATCCCCCAGAGAGGCAGTGACCAGCTGTGGCTGGGTCACAGCCCTCCTCCCCCCAGCTGAGAAACCAATTTAGTTGTTCTTGACTTCGTAGCAGACCAGGACTGTACTGACCTCAGGTCCGCAGGGCTGTCTTAGTGTCCCTCCTGAAAGTGTGTTTGGGAGCATCTCGGGTGTCTCCACCAAGTGTGGATATTTTGTCAGTGTTGGTGCTGGGAGGTGCACGGCAGGCAGGCAGTCCTTTTGACCTAAGTGTCTGCAGGCAGCCAGATTCCTTAATGGAGAGTTGGACTGTGTGTTGCTCTCTATGTAAGAGCAGCAGGTGACAAAGGAGAGACTGAAGCCTCGGAGGATCCCGAAGCACTTGATTGCAATAGCAGATTTGTTGGCGTAGGCCCAAAACCTTTCAGATTGAGAACTTAGAGAGAAAGACACACGTGGATGTCTTAGGTTCTCAGTGTGCTCGGCCGAAAAGCTTATTCCCAAAGCTAGGCAAAGGTCAATGTAAGCAAGAACGGAAATACGACTTGAGACTCTCTTGACAAACCTCACAGATGATCCAAATATTCAGCAACATAAATCACAATATAGGCATAGAAGGATGTACTTTAGCCAGTAAGAAAAGTTCATTTCTTAAGTTCTACTCAGTGGAACTTGAGAAACTTGCATTCTCTTGTGGTGAGTGGAAAACGTAGAGTGTAAAACCATGTATAAAATTTAATTCTAATTTTGTGGAGGGGAAAGGGTGATCACCAGAAATGAGGGCAGTTTTATGTAACTCCTACTTGTATCTTTATATTATCAAGTTTTTCTATAATGCAAGTGCATTGTTTTTGTGTACTGTTTTTTTTTTTTTGTTTGTTTGTTTTGAGACAGCATCTCAGGGAGCTCAGGGTGGACTCTAAGTCTCCGCGTTGACTAGGATAAGCTTGGATTCTCAGTGCTCTTCTCTGTCACTAGCACTGGGATAGGAGGCATGCGCCACCAAGCCAGGCTGGGCTGAAATGCTCTAGTTTTATAAGAAGAGAAAAATTATGTTGTTTACAGAAAAATGGATGGAAGTGGAGATCATCAGGAGAAACGAAATAAACCAGATTTAGAGTGACAAATGTCACGTGCTTTCTTTTCTGTGTGGATTTTGGAGGCAGGGAGACGTGGCCGTAGAGGGAGACCCCTAGAAATACAGAAGGAGATTAGGCTAGGGGCAGGGGGGAAAGGGTAAAGAGAGGCTGTATATGAGCAAAATGTGTTATGTGCATGTAAGGGAGCTTCCAAATGAAACTCACTACTTCACAAAATTAATATATGATAATAAAAGATGGAAGAGGAAGGGGAAACTCAAGAAGGGCCCATAGGCCCTCCTAAAGAACAAGCAGTATTAAGCGCCGTAATCACAATGACCCAAGCAGGTTAGCAGAACAGTTCCCTTTGCTTCCAGTCTCCGAAGAGGGTTAATGCTGTGCTGTGACTGTTGTAGCACAACCAATGAGAACAAATTAAAGCTCTCTTTAGAAAGGGCCCCAGGTTGAGGATGGAGGGAGAGACTATTGGGAGAGACTACTGGAATTGGTGGTATCTCAGGAATGAATTAGTATCTAGAATGATGGAAACTTTCAGGAATCTATGAGGGTGACTCTAGGTAAGACTCCAAGCACTGGGGTTATGGAGCCTGGACAGGCCACCTCCTGTAGCCAAGCAAGCCTTCCAGAGGAGGGATTGACTGGGAGTCTAGCCCAGACACAGAAGCTTCAACCTTACAATTTGTCCTGCCTACAGATGGGCAGAGGTAAAGCTGTCACAGAAATTGTTGGAGTGGCCAACAATGACTGGTCCAGCTGGAGACCCATAAAACCCACCCCTGAAACTGCCTGGAGGACCAGGAACTAGAGGCTGGGTAGCCCAGAGACCTAGAATGGAACCAAACATAATTGGCAAACAAACAAACAAACAAACAAACACTCAATAAATAGAGTCCTAATGCTATTCTGCTATACTCGTAGACTGGTGCCTAGCCCAGCTGTCATCAGAGAGGCTTCATATAGTAACTGATAGAAACAGATATGAAGACTCACATCTAAACATTAGGTGGAGCTTAGGGAATCTTGAAGAAGTGGGGAGAAATAGAAAGTAGGAGCCAGAAGGATCAAGGACACCACAAGAGAACCCACAGAATCCACTAACCTGTGCTCATGGGGCTCCCAGAGATTGAACCCCCAACCAGGGAGCCTGCATGGGACTGACGTAGGCCCTCTACACATATGCTACAGTTGTGTAGCTTGGTCTCCTTGTGGGACTCCTGACAGTGGGAGCAGGGCCTGTCTCTGACTCTGTTGCCTGCCTCTGGGACTCTCTCCTCCCCTACTGGGTTGCCTCCTCCAGCCTTAATAGGAGAGGGGGTGCCTAGGCTCACTGCAACTTGATATGCCATGTTTGGTTGAAATCCATGGGACGCCTGCTTCTTTCCTGGGGAAAAAAAAAAAA